TCTTCAGGCTACTGAGATGAAAAGAGGAAATGTTTACTGCAAAATGCAAGTCAACCACAGCCAGTGGGTCTGGACCATGGTGGAGGGATACAGAAATGGCTTCTTCTTTTTTTTTTTTTTTTTTTTCTCCTCAGAAATAGAACTCACTAAAAATAGCAGTTCCTCAGGAACAAGACTGCCTGAAAATAGCTGTTTCTCAGGAGCAGGGCTGGCTGCTTCTGAAAGAAGTAGCTATTAATGTATAATTGTCCCTGAGGCTGGTTTCTGAGAAAATGCTGTACATATAGAGGGCTGTAATGAGATATGTTCATAGGCAGGAAAACATAGGCAGCCCTCTCTTGTCAGAGGTCCTGTAAACTCCAATAGTTCACATAAGTGCAATTGGTTCACTGATCTTAAGCACAATTAGATCCATAACAGCATTAGGAGGCATTTTCCCCTGTGCTGGTTTAGGCAGTACTGGGATTCTCTTATTATCTAGACCAGTAAATAACAAAGCTGGGGAATGCTGCTGCCATGAGCTCTAACTAAAGACCTACACTGGTTCTTCTCCCTGGACTGGGAAAGCCTTACAAAGCTAAAGTAGGCTTTGAAACTTCAGCACTCTCCTTCCGCAGCAGGTCCAGGAACTTTGTTGAATTGCAATCTACCTCCAATTTCCTGCTCTACTCAGGGCTTAAAAGTTTTCTCATGTAGAATGTAGACGGTACGATGCAATAAACTTTCTGAAGAATGGCCCTACATTTCTACCACTATGGTGTTGCCTTATAATGAGGAAACAACAATTGCTTGCGAGATTGGTTGACTGGGTGGTCATTCTGTAGCATTTCTCACTCACCCCTTTTTTCTCCTCACAGGTTCAACAGTCTTTTCTCGTGTCTGCTTTCTTCTTTCCTAGCACAGCCATCCAATATCTGTACAGAGGCCATTCTCGTCCTGTTCTTTGGAGGAAAACTCCAGCTGCCCAAAAGTAGCTGAAATCAGGAAAAATCCAGAAGAGGAGAAACTTGCAAAACAGCAGCAGCTTTAAGGAAACAGTAGCGCAGATGAAGTGCAGTGGGCTATGACTCTGACTGCCGCCATCCTTTCAGTCCCACAACACCAGGGCCAGAAATCATAGTGTCCTCTGTCGAGAGCATCATTGGATCCCAAAGGCTGGATGGGACTGGGCTCTGTCATTACTGGATGGAAATCTACAGAGGCCTCTTCCAGGCTGTGCTCTTACTGTTTCCTCATGTAGTCTCTTCCCTCTGTTCACTGGTGATCTGATGCTTTAGCATGCTGGTAACAGCAGAAGTAGCCTTCTGGAGGAAGAATAGGGCTGAGGTTCTGGCCACTGAGTAGCCCAAGGCACTTTTTAGCTCAAGAAATTACTCTCTTTGCCCTGACCAAATTCCAAAACAAGAAACGGCACTCTGCTTGCAGTTATTGTAGGCCGCAGTTTTCATTATGGAAAGTGCCTTTACTTCCATAGGTAGGTCTACACGGCAGCATGCAGCAAAAACAGACGTTCCCAGACTTGATTTTAACCTAGTTTCCTTGGGAAGGAATACCAGTGAAGATGCAGCCACACTGATTTCACATACCCAAGGCTGTGGGATACGTGTAAAACACAAATTCTGTGCTGCCGAAACTCTGGGTCGGCAGTTTGCCTGACGTGATCAGGCAAAACTAGAGCAGGTGTACGTGTACCTGGCACACATCCATGACGTCTGACCTCACAGTTAATTAATCTTTCCCTTCCTTATTGCTAATATGCTCATATTGCTAATAATGGTGATACTATATAATAAAAAAATACATAATGCTAAACTGCATACATTAAGGGGAAGACATATACTACTGTATACATATAGTCCTTGCCTGTTTATTTTGTTAGAGTTTTTAAATATGTCTTGGGACCCTCAAATCAAATAGTCCACAAAAGACAGGGTGCTTGGCATCATTTCAGTTTGATACCAGCAGGGTGTGGACCTTTTGCAGCTGAAATCAGTTTGATTAAAAAAGCATTTTGTTGCAGCCATCATACAGTGCTCATTAAAAAGCACTCTACATCTGAATAGCATTTATCACCCAGGAATCTCACCATGTTTTACAAAATGTAATTAATTAAACTTTACAACTCCCCTCGGAGAGAGAGATGGAAAATGGAGTTGCCTTAATCCATCACTGAAATGCAGCAAACAATGGGTTGGAGGAAAACAGCTGTTCAACAGCATGCAGCAGCTCTGGGACAAGAAGTGAAGCTCTCCAGGCAAAATCACCCAGGGAATGTACTACACACTTTGTGTTTGTCTGAATCATACAGTTACTTTCACTGTGGGTTAAATCTCAACTCCTGCAGAGAATTGTGTGATTTCTCTTTCCCCCTAGGTTTATATCTGAGACACCTGGCAGCACAACATGACTTGTCTCCACAAGAAGTATGCCCTCTATTGAATCCCTGGTGCTGCTGAAGACCAGGGGCAGCCACAGCCCTGATCAGAACCAAGGGAGGCAGAAGATATAAAACCATACAGCCACAGTCTGCATCTCACAGTACTGGAATGCTGTGCAAGCTAGTGCTTAAAGGGGAGGGAGGGTAAAGTCCCCTTAATCCCTTGCCTACTTCCCTCTCCCTTCCCCACTGGTAAATCCACACCTGGTAAAGGTCACCCTGAAATGAAATACGTTTGAGTATTTCCTGCTCCAGCTCAGCTCCCCTGTCCCAGTGGCCCGCAGTCCTGACCAGTTCACGCTGAAGAGCAGGAGAGGGAAGGGGGGTGCCCATGCGACCTGACTGAATGTCAAAGTCACATGGCTGAAATCCCACCCGACTCTTAGCTGATCTTTAGAGAGGAATCTCTTTCTCACCCTGGCTTTAAGCTCCTTTCCTGCCGAACATATAGGATAACACGGCCACTGGGCAAACCTGATTAAACAGGTCCGTTATGCCACTTTCACTACCTTGCAAAGAGCTAGAATTTGAGCTGGTGCAAGTTGGGAGGGGGGTGCGAAGCATCCCTGACTCATGAGTGAAGTACTACAACGAAAACCCAGAGATATGTGTGGGGAGGGAATGATGCAAAGAAACGTGTGCATCCATGCTGCACCAGAGAGAAGCACTAAGAAACAGGAGAACAGATGGAGGAGGAGGTATCTTACCAACTCATTCACCAACTAATCAAACACAACTGTGAATCCTGTAACAGTGATTGCATCTATTGATCGGAGAAAGATGTATGGTCTAACTCTCTGCATGTGCAAGTGCTAAACTGGAAGGCCTGGGCTATACATGTAATGAGAGACAATATGCTGCTGGGGGCTGAGCTGTGGCAATCCTATAAATCTCCTGATTTCTTAGTGTCTTCTAAGAAGACACTTAGATCATCCACCGGTGAAAGAATAAGAATGAACTCTAAATGAAACACTAATGCGTCTTGTCTCCTAAACACTTATTTCAGTCCGATGCCTTCCCACTGTTGCAGGTTAAGTGGCTGCAGCCATCAGGAAGAAGGAGTAACGCTGGGATACAAGCACTTCCTGAAGCGCAATGGAGAGATGCACTAGGTTAAACTGGAAATCGGCTGTCTTCTGAAATCTGCAGGAAGCAACTTCAACAGGCATCTCCACAGCGCAGTGGAAGTGGTAACACCCCGGACTCACCGGTGCTTTTGGTGTGAATTAGACCCATGTCAGCAACAGACCTTCTGCCGAGATGTACGCTGGCAGAGTGAGAATAGCCACTGACTACTTCACCTGGGAAGGCCAGTTAGACAACATCCACGCAAGGCCATGTAAGCGCTGAGCGTTTTCATCAGATGTAAAGGTGGGAAGGGAGGAAAGAGAGGAAAGATACAAGGATTGTGCTGGAGGAACTGACAGTGGATTCAAAGACAGTCACAAACAAGGTGATTTTTTAAGTTTCTGCTGCGCTATTTGCTTGGTTTCTAAATCCTCCCCACAGAACATGAAGCCCAGCTGCACAACCTTCCTGGTGAAGCACTCACACTTAGCCAAATAGGCATGTTGACAAGATGGGGTTCATTGCACAAACCTTCCCCGTGCTCATGAATACAGATCTGCTTGCACACACGGGAGATATGTTCATATGCCCCTCTGGATTCATACCACCATGGTCTTCCCAGTGGTTACACGTCTTTCCTCTTTTTAGCAAGAAGAAACTGGTTTTTACTGGCCCTAGTTTTATTTTTATGTTTGTTGATGGGGAGCAGGCAGTCTCAGATACGGCTGTCGCTGCAGTAGATTTCTTAGTGAAAATTCCTGCTTGGGTTTTACAAATGTTTTAATTAACGTAAATTATTTTACTACGTTTTACTACTGATAGCATATAATTATCTCCTCACAGGTATATATTTAGCTAACCAGAAGGCTGATCAAAGACCTACAAAATAAGGTGCTTTTGCAACTGGCACTAGAAACAAGCAGAGACCAGCATGATGGGACCAAAGGCGGCAGGGGGAATTCCCCCTCCACAGTCCTCAACACCAGTGCCCAAATTTCCCCATTTGAAACGATTATCACAACATTAACTTACACATCTTACCAGAGGAGCATGAAGATGCGCGAATACTTAAGTGTTGCGAAGAAGAAAAGAACCACGTAGAGGCTAAACTATTAATTACTGGTAAGCAATCTCCTTTGTGAAGTGTTTCGAGCTTGACTGAGGGAAATGGCTCTGTAATAACACAGAGCAACCAATCTGCTTACACTCATAGGTTAATTCTCTCGACTGATTTTGCTGGGTCCATCCCTAATATTATTACCCATGTGAGGGAATTTACCGTTTTCCTGAGGAAGTCTGAGCACGGAAGAGATTCCAAACTCCACACCCCCTTCTGATCGTATTCAACTCAGGACCTCTAGCTTCCACTGCAAACACGTTTTCAGATGAGTAAGTTTGAGACCTATGCTAAGCAGCTGCGCTGCTCTCATCACCTCAAACTGTTCACAAAATTAAAAATAATAGATAGGATCAAGCTACCTGAGACCCCCCCTACCTTTTCTCCAAATTACTGGATGATAAAGCATGCATCTCTACATTGAGCTTCTGGAAGTGCTTGTATCCCAGGGTTACTCTTTCTCCTTGATAGCTGCAGCCGCTTAACCTGTGACAGAGGGAAGACATCAGATTGAAACAAGTGTTTAGGAGCCCAGAAGCACCCTATGCCAAACCACATGTTTCAGAATCTTATCTGTCCACTTGTGTAGGTTTGATCCTTTATTAAAAGCACTGGGTGCTTCGTCATCAGCTTCAGTGGGCGCAGGATCAGATAGGTAAATCCTCGTCTCTTGACCTTCTTGAAGGCCACTCTGTGCTACTTTACACACCCATGAATACTGTGTCTGCTTTTTACTATAGCGTCACTGAGCACCAGTCCCAGGTGAGACCCTGAGTGTCCAAGGTGTGGCATATAGAACAAAAAAATGGTCCCAGCCTCTAAGACCTTACAGTCTGAGGGAGGTTATATTTAACTCTTTGCTTCTCCTTCTAAACACCTTTAATTAAAAGTGTTACTTAACTCTTCAGCTGCATCTGAGTCTCTAGAATAAAAGCTACAACATTATGTGCTATGGCTGCTACTGGAAAAAGGAAATGTCTTTCGTGTTTATTGACGCCTTTTGCAAAATACGCTGGGTATCTGAATGACGTACTCCCCATTATTTCCATGCCATTACTTATAAACGTCATGGCATTTTCTAGAGGGGTCCTCAGCAAGATGAAGACCTCAGGGCAACACTCCATTAGGCTTTTATTTTTAAAGGTTGGGTTAAACCTTCTTCAGACTGCTAGACGTAACTGTTTTTCTTTATTTAGGGTAGCTGAAGGAGACATTAAGTTTGTATTTCTACTCAAAATGCAAGATTGCTCAAGTATCTGAAAGCTCTCAGGGAATGGTCTCGGTAGGGTATTAAGCGGAAAGAAGACTGTGTGTGGATGGACAACACAGTTCAGGTGGAGGAGGAGAGAGAATATTTAAACAGGCAGGGAACGGAAACTTCAAACGGTCTGAACAATCATTGATATAAAACCTGGACTGAACACAAGAAATAGAGGGATTCTGGGTCACACTGCTGCCTGGAACAGGTCGGGAGCTGTGAGCAAGGAAATTGGCTCTCAACTGCATGATTTCTTCTGTGTTCAGGAAAAGGGGGCTGTGTGCATTCTTGTAAGTAAACAGAAATACATCAGAAATACCTTTCTTCATCACTACTCCTCCAAGCTGGATCTACCAACAAGACCTTGAATGTTGGCCAACAGCCGGGGTCAAAGGGAGGAAATGCGCGCTAGAGAACCTCCCACACATCTGTACCAGTTAACTCTTCCTGCCTGGTTCAGGATTAAGATGGCATAAGGACAACAGTACTACTCCTCTCTTACTCTGTACCAGCGTGGGCAGTCCACACCAAGGTCTAAGTCACTGCTGTCTGTAACTGCACTGGAGATGTATCCTTTTTATGGACTTCCAATCCTACCCTAGCAACTCAGTCTTACCCAAACCCTGCTATAAGCAGTTTGAGCAACTCTATGTGCTCTTTCACTCTGCAGGCAACTCCTTAGAACGAGGGACCTGGCATTGCCTTTTTTCCTGTAGGTAAATCAACCCGCCTTTCATGCGCAATCCTGTTTAAAACAATAGGTTGCCCTGCAACAATGAGGAATGCAAGTTTGACAAGTACAGTAAAAAGGCCACAGAACAGTTCATCAGGGCACACTTCTGCAATAAAAAGACAGTTACTGGTAAAGTGCAATAATAAAATAAAGGATAATTTAATAAAGGGAGTTTTAACTCATTTTAGAGGGAACAGATTCAGAACCATTTCTTTAAGTGAGCAGGCACACTGTATTTTCCTAATCCTAGTTTCTGCTAATAAGTAACAGGTAGTAATTTATTCCTTCTGCTTTTATCTTTATGTTAAGGGAGAGCACTGTTCAATATAAATACATTGATTTCTGTAAAATAGAGGCTGAAGACACAAGCCAGACATCTAGATCAGCCTCTAAGATGCATTACAGAGCAGCACAGTCTCTTGAGATGACAGAGGTCCCACACCTCAAGTCACTTATTACCAGCTAACATAAGCCTTTCATGGCAAGAATCCTGCAATGGCATAACAGGATTCTGCGATCTAAGAAAAGTAGACGCTACAGAGTAGTTCCGTGTTTATGTAGGAGCCCCGTGGGCCCCCTTCAGTGTCCTTAATTTAGTCTTCATCATCTCTGATCCGTCCTAACAGTCCTCTGTGGGATGGAGATTTAATATTGAGGAAATCTGGGGACCTGGCTGACCTGTCAGAAGCAGTGGTGGATGGCTGCTCCCTGTTTACTGCTGTATCACTTTGCTTTTCAGATTCAGCACAATAAACAACAACAAAACCTGACACTATTTTATGAACCTGAATGATACGATTTAAAACCTCTAGAGGTCAGGCTAATTTAGAGCATCTTTCCAGCAGGAGCATTTTGCTAAGTGCGAGTGACATCTGCTGGAATCCTCTCCCCCTTAAACCATCCTCCCTCCCATCATGGCCAGCTCTGCAGGTGTTTATCTGCCCAGGGTGGCTCTCCTGGGTGCCTGTCTGCATTAAAGCCCCCAGAAAGAGATGTGGGCAATATGAAATAAATCTGGGTGCCCCTTCCCTATTACAGGAGGCAAGGGTAGTCCTCATCCACACATCCTCATACGTTACCTCTTTTCCACTGCTCTGGTTAGGCAACTGTACTTCCAGGAGACAGGGAGGCCCGGCCTCTCCTTCGGTCTTTGACATCCTTTGAGAGGAGGTGGTAAAACGCGGCATGTTCCCACATGGAAAAATCCTGCCTGGGCACTGAAATGGGACCACACAATACATTACTCACTCGTCACTTACTACCTGTGAAAAACGTGATCAGTGTTCCTCCTCTAGCCTTCAAGCCATCTAAGAAGGCTGTAGGAGAGGGCAGTTTGCCCTGGTCCCCCCCAGGAGAGATCTGAAAGTCCCTAGCTTCTTACATTACAATATATCTTAACATATTTAAACATGTTACAGTAGATAACATTACCAATAAACGTTTAAATATAAGTCACAATTTCTTCAGGCTAAGCACACGGGAAAAGGTTCATTTTGGGGACATCAGAAACCCTCCCGAACGATCCCGAAGGGAAGACGTGTGAACTTTTCTCTCCGTGGTGTTTTATCAGAGTTTGCCGCAGTTTGCACCTGTCTGCGCAGCAGGGCTGGCAGGCGGATGTGAGGCCGCGTGGCCGCGTGG